GTATCTTATGCTTTTATCTTGTCCCAAATCGCATTTGAGAGACAATCAGCTAAAATCCTTTATTTTGTATAAAAGAAGAGACAAACTCGAGAAATCTTTAATGACAAATCGATAACTCTTCAGTAATACTTTTTATTTTTCGCTTGAATGGGACTCTACAACRTTATTGGAAACACATGTTGCCGCTTTTGAGCGTTTTTCCGGGTGTAAACTCTTAAACACCTGCTGAGTAGTTGAATTTGAAACAATTTAATTCTAATTTTAATCKAAATTTAGTCAGCGGTTACCAAAATTGAAACAGAGGTGGGGGAGTCCCTCAAAGGGCTCGTAAAAGGTTACCGGGAAAGCCGGGAGTTTCTTTCGGATCTGGCTTCAAATCCGCATAGATTTGTTGTGTTCGATATACCTAATATTGGCGTTTCGGAATATAAAGCCTCTTTCAGCAATATTGTCTATGACAGGAGATTGGACTTATTGATTTGAGGGAGTGAGCGATGAAAGGTGTCTACTCGTATTTTCAATTTGGTTTAAAAACACAAAAAACGATTTTTCCTCCCCTTGGAGCCACTTATCGCAAGTTTTAATGATAGTCCTAAAAACAGTATCGATCCCCCGTTTTCACTTAGCCTCCGCTGTGCACTCGCAATTATTTTTCTTGCACATAATGGACGCTGTCGGATTTCGCAAAGTCATCGTGTTGGGTGGAGTATCATTAAATATGTATACAMTGGGAGTTGGAAGCCGTTCGGAAACGAACTTTGAAAATCGATCCAGAAACTCGTTATTAATAAACTTGGGTCTAATTCGATGTGTTTATGACAATCCTTTCAGGTGGAAAATTCGCTGAGTACTTACGAACCACATGCCTGCGTCGTRGTCTACTCTGTAGTGGCGAGGGCGAGCTTCCAGCACGCTGAAGAGACCCTCAACTACCTCTGGAGGGAGGGGTACACGCAGGAGAAGAGCGTTATTGTTGTGGGAAATAAGGCGGACTTGGCCAGGTCGAGGGTCATCACAGCGAACGGTTTGTCAAACTATGTGTTTGTCTAACGGAGGCAAAAAATTCGGATAATAATCATAATTCCCGAGAAAATAACTCGGACGAGGGTTCAGGCTTGACAGAGTGTCCAATTAAAACGCATTTTTTTTTCTGGAGTCATCGATAATTTTAAATTAATTAAAATCAGTCAATACTATGAAAACTAAAAACTTGAAAATAACAAACACAAGAAATTTGTTTTATAATAGTATATTAAGAAACAAATTTTATAAAACCAGTCTTGAAGCACGAATTCGAGTTTAAAACACGAGTGGCGTAGCTACAAAATGAGCGCTTTAAGGTCTTATAAAACGAGTTTTTTTTTACTATTTTAGTGATTTGCCCTCTTTAGGTATGCCGTTTTTAAACAAAAATCTTTACTTTAATCGATTTAGGGATTGTTGTCACGTTTGGTATAGTGTATAGTCTTAGTTTTAAAAATCAAAATTTAATCTMGTCGCCTTTTGACTATTAAGACATAGCACATGATGACGTCCCGTTCTTTAATGTGTCTATTAGAGAATCAAAATGGAGACAAATTACAAAAATATTTTTCCGAAATCGGCACTAAAGTTACATAAAATTGTCAGTAAAGAGTATAAAACAGCAATGAAGTAGTTCATTATACTACAGTTTTGTTTGTTGTTGCTTGCGAACAGTGTTGTCAAATTATCGTCTTCATCTAAACATGAGATAAAGACAAATCCTATTCCTATTCTGTATTTGTTTATAAATATTGGTTTTTAATTCTTCAAATAGTTTTCAAATAGCCGTGACTAATATGCGTATTAGTTACGTTGGTAATAGCAACTGTCGTATTAGTCACGGTCTAAAGTTAGCGTTCTGTCATTTAATTTAATTTTTAATTTAAGTAAATTTTTTGTAGTGGTCGTAGAAAAAGTATAGTATGTAACACGTGTATTAACTTCACTAGACATTAGTTTTATTAAACAGTCGCTCCGCTGCGCTTCACTCGTACCTAATAAAACTCATGTCTAAAGTGGCGTTTATGCCTCTAGTTACATAATATACTATTTCCTGTTTCGTGGTTATCGCCTAGGCAACTAAACACACAATTGTACTGAAAAATAAGACTTCAGCGTCTTTATACATAARTAACTATTTTTGTTTTGAGTTAAGAGATCTTTTTTTCCTTTTATTTTCGTTTATTTCTACTTTTATTTTAAAAATTTGTAAGTTTTGGTTTGCTTTCAGTAATATTTTTAATTTTTGTTTTCTTTTAAATTTTTCTATTTTCTCGTCGTGATCTACTTCACATTATGTTAAATGCATATTTAATAAAAATTTATTTGTTATTTTAATTTCAAGCATTCAATCTCTACTTTTTTATTAAGTATTTTTTAATTTCTTTGAATGCATTCGACACGTTTAGAATCTTGTCTCAGATAATTTAAAATTCAAAATTGTACATTATACAATTTATTGAATTATAAAACCTCAAGTTGAAWTTTTTTTTCGAATTAATTTCCTGGCGCTTTTTATGTAACAAAAACAAAGGAAAGACTAACAAGTGTAAACATTAAAACTCTAATATCACTTGAAAAATTGGTCCAATAATTYGATTTTGTTAGAATTTGTAAAAAAATCTTGCATTAAAAATAATGAAAAAAAGACTGTTAGAAGAAAAAATACGGTTAATTTTTTTAATTTTAATATCCTAGTTAAAATAAAAAGTAAAAATACAAGAAAATTTTCATAAGTCTTTTTACTTTTATTGTCTTCTCTTTTTTACAGGGCGCTCAAAAAGTGGCGCGCCAACTCAATGGTAGAGTTACGGAATTAAAATTTCGGTCAGTATTGTCATTTTCATAATGTAAACTCAAAAACAACCTTTACATTAATAACCTCATTTTTTACTCTTGTCATGTTTATGTCATTTTGATTTATTTACTTTCAAAAATAGTGATTTGTGGCATAATAACGGGTAGGCAGCAGATCAAAGCGACACTTAGTTCAATTAATAAATTTCCTAAGACCGACAAATTATTTGATTAACAATTTTAACAACAACAAAAGTAAGTTTAATTGTCAAATGTCAGTCATGATGACAGTAAAAGGTAGTTTACAGTGATCTTTTTAAAGTTACAGAAAAATACTGCCTGAAATTTTAATTCCGCAACTGTACATTGTTCAGAAGCTTCTACAGTTTACAAGAAAAAATCTTTAGAAAATCCTTGCGGTCATATTTTCCACAATATGAAGCTATAAATTTATTTTGTTAAGTTCATTAAATCACATTATTTACTCAAATTTTCATATTTTACATTATGGATATCTAGTTGTAGCAGTGTTTGAATTTTTCAAAAATTATTTCAGTGATAAATTATTTTTAGCAGATGTGTGACAACACTGTGTACTCTATATTTGCACTCAATTTTAGCTGTTGTCATGTTTCCTAGGCAACTGTTATTTTTACACTTGTACAAAAATGTGATAACAACTTAATTGGAGCACTCTGTATATACCTGAATCTTTGTTCAACCAAAAAAAAAGAAAAGAAATGAGTAAAAATGGTACAATGGAAGCCCAAACCAAGAGAGCATTAATTTTTTTCATCTTAGCATTAAAAATTAGTTTTGCATAAAACGGGTAAAGGGTGAGTGTGGCCTCACGTTTGTTATTAATTAGTTAGCCAGAAGCACAGTGTTTTGAGTATTTAATAACACTCGAGCATAACTTTATGTCCCCGCTTTTGATGTTTAGTTAGTAATCCCGTAAGATCTCCTTCCTGAGAAAATTCATCATCGTAATGGTGGTACTTAACTCGATATCGAGGCGTCATAAATTCTCATTACTCATTATTCGCTTTTGCAGAAAGTAAACAATAAAATAGCTCGATTTCCCCGAGAAAAATAACCAAATTTTTCCGATTTTGCAATTGATTCAATTCCCATGACACGATTTTTTCAACGGAAGACATCAGAAATGCCATTTCCGGTTTCCGGSTCTGACTGGATTCCAATRTAGACATGATCTGCGTTTAACTGGGCCGATTTTCGCCAAGTTTGGTGAATTTCATGCAATTTTATAAGATTTTTATCTAATATTTCAATCCGGGGAAATACAGCTTTCGGCCCGACTAGAAATAGATGTCTTCGTTGGGACCAAATTGCTGGAGATTTGTTCCKACAAACGCTTTATTTTATCGGCAAGATTTGTACCCGAAATTGCAAGTTTCAAAAATTAATGGAAAAATCCATTAACAGATGGCGAAAACGTGAAGAACGACGCAAAATTAAAGAATTTCATAAGTCAACATCCCCGCCTTGTCATAAACAAGATTTTAATTAGTTCGCGTTTCTAACGGATTTCGTTAAATTAAAACATTCTTTTGCTTTCACCCTCTTTCATTTTCTGCAATAATTAATTAAAAAACGTGACATATTTCGCATTAAACTTGTCAATTTCGAAATCTGATTCCTAAAATTGAATTTTGGAATAAAATGGGGCGTTTTCAGAGGGCAAAGCGCTGGCGGTGGCGCGCGACTGCAAGTTCATCGAGACYTCGAGCGGCATCCAGCACAACGTGGACGAGCTCCTGGTGGGGATCCTGAAGCAGATCCGGCTCCGGGAGTCCCGCGAGAAGAAAAAGTCCGGGTCGAAGAAGGAGAGCAACAAATTGCACGGCTCCAAGACCAGTCTCAGCCTCAACATCGCTCGAGAGATCCTCCAGAAAATCTGTATGAACGATATAAGCAAGTCGAGGTCTTGCGAAAATTTACATGTTTTATAAATTGTTGTAGATTCTATTTTTCTACGCTAATTCTGATAGAGACGAATTTGTGTTGGATTTGTATAGTTTTCTACCTGTTTTAGCTACATGTGATATTTAAGTGGACGTAGCAATGGACGCTTCATGTCTCCTTTTTGACGATTTCTGCAAGAATGATGACCACGTTTTGGTTTAGTGACGAGGGTGATCAATCCCAAGTAGTTTTAAGGCCTAAAGTTGTGTAAAATAGTAGCTCACTCCTGAGTTTTTGTGCACTCATTTGTGATTTTTTTTTTGCTTCACTGCCTGCGCTTCAAATTTTTTCTAGCAATTAGTCAATTATTGTATCATCGGGTGCGGTCAGTTATATTAATTAAAAGTGGAGCACGAATTTGATAAACGTGACAAACGATCGCCTGGTGTATTAAATTTGTGTATATTTATAGATAGAGGAATCATCATCATAGAATGTTGCGAAATGAGACTGAACCATTTAGATGTTTTCATAAGACTTTTATAGTTTAGTAGAAACTTTGTTACTTTTCTATTAATCAAAGAGACTGCTCAGTATCTCTTTCTACTTATACGACTGTTCGAAACTCTCTTTTTTTCGTTCAATTTTTGTCGAAGTGTCGAAAATGCARCAAAATCGCGGCTGCCCGCTGAGCCGTCTGCAGTTATTGTCTTGTTTTCAACAAAATAAAACAATTTTTCGAATCGATTAAGTGTTTTTTTTTCTTGCAATTTTAATACAATTAACATTTTTCGCGCATTATTTGAGACACGAGCGACGAAGCAGCGAGTGCTTCATTCGCGCGAATGTCTTCGTGCATGGAGGTTCTACGATATTTTTTTTGAAACCAACATTACCTAACATTTGTTCTTATTAATAAAATTTATTATTACCAATAGTATAATGGCGATTTAATTTTACTCTTTTGAAATTTTCAACTTCCAAATTGGAAAAGTGACGTTTTGCAAACCAAATTTTATTATTATCAGGTAAAATTATTTTTAAAAAGACCGTTTATGCGGTTAATTGTTACGTTTGCAAAATGTCATTTTGAAGGCGGGGAGTTCAAAAAACATTGTTCAATACAAAATCGTATTTTTTTTGTTTCTCACTCAAAAAAATGTGTACGCTGCACGTGTTTTTAATGTAAACTGTAAAAACCCCAATATTTTTATTTAAATACAATTGTAATTATAAGAAGTATAAAGAACAACTATAAATGTTTCAAAAACTAATCTACATTAATTTATTCTGAAGGTGGCAATAAAAATAATGTTTTTGACAAAAAATCTGTTGGCAACACTAAATCCTAATTTGTTTACCATGAATGACAATTGTCTATAAAAGTTTGACGTTTGAATTGGAGAGTTAATGTTGCCAAATTGAGATTTTAAACTTGACCAAACAATAACAATCATTTACATTCACTCGGTATATTTAATAAAAACTAAATTTTTATATTTAAAAGATCATAAAAATGTATATGTCGTGTTATTTCAATCGTAATCCTGATTCTTCTTATAAGGTTTTTTTCTGTATACAAAGTCACATTGGAGTATTTGGGCTCTACATTTGTCAGTATATTAGAGTCCATTTGTTGCAAAGATTCTTCTTTTACACGTAAATTAATTAATGTTTATGATTTATTTATGTTTATTTCACCTCTAAAACAGTTATTCCGAAAAAAATTATATCTACCGAGAGGCCATAAATAACGTTTCTGACCAAAAAATATATTGGTAAGATTGAATTTTTGGTAATTCTTCTATTATATTAGGATGTTTGAGGTAACGGCTAAGCCAGCAGTCGTCGTTCGCAAATAAATGACAATTTCCTCTAAAGTTTAACGTTTGAATTGGAGAATYCAGATTGCCAAATTAAGATTTTAAACTTGAGGATAACAATCTTTACAGTCACTCTGTATATTCAATAATAATTAAGTTTTTAGATTTAAACGTTCATAGTAAAAATGTAGTATTCTCTCACTTTTAAAATTTATYAGTAGGGTCTATTGTTATGAAGATTATTCTTTTACACAGAATTCAAATATTTGTGATCTAATTCACTCAAAAAACACAGCTGCGATGTTGCCAGTGTGACACGAAGTATACACCTCGTGTGTTCCTTTTTTCACAATGTTTTTTCTGTATCAAATAGTAGAGTATTTTGGCTTAAAATTTGTCAGTTGTTACACAGATTAGTTTTTTTTTCACAAAAATCAAAAAAACCTCAAAAAAACACAGCGACGTTGCCAGTGTGGCGATTGAAATGGCACGAGGTGTACATTAGTTATTTATTTATTAATTTTGATTTTATTTCTAAGCTTTCCAAGATTGTTAAGTGAACGATTTGTCTAAAATAACTCGATTTTGTCAAAATTTGCAAGAAAACCTTGCATTAAAGATAATGAAAATGACTATACGAAATACAAGAAAAGTTTTCATACAACTATCTACATTTTATTCCATTTTTATCGAAAAATAATCATATAAATTGCCATTTTGAAAAAAATGAAACAATACTTTATTCTCAAAACAGGATTGTAGTTTTATAGCACTTTATTTTTTATTAAATATTTTCTGAAGACAAATGATTAAAAAAAAGTTTGATTCCATCTTTTTTATTGTAGTGGAATGTGGTTTCTGAGTTATAAAAAACATTAGGTTTCATTCTTTTGTTTCATAAGTTTTATTAAAAATTATTAATTATTACCTATTTAAAAAGTTTTATACATTTTAATGTGAAAAAATACTCATCAGGTATAAACTAAAATTTGCTATAAGAAAATTGACTTTTTACATCAAGCTTGATGCTTAGTTCCTATTAAAGCCAATTTCTGTTTCTTTTTTGATCTTCAATTTTTTAACAATAAAAGTGTGACAATTTATTTTGTTGTTAAATAACTGCAGACATCTTTGGTGCGTCTTGAGTGCATTGAGATAGGGACAATAAAGTTACTAACTTTGAGTAGTGTTTTATCAATGATTGCATAAATATTTCATGTACATTTGTAGATAATATTACATATCCTGTAATACGAGCATTAGCAGATTTAATATCACAAATTTATATTTTTATCTACAATTTCTACTGTGACAATCATGTAATAATTAGGGCATCATACATAAGTTAAAAACTGAATGTAAATATGTGTAACTGTTGTGTGTACAATAAATAACAGCAATAAATAGTTTGTGTTGACATTAAATTCGTTCCGTGAGCACTCTGAAGGCATAACAAGTAAKTAACCGTTTGAAATGTACAACATTTTATTACAATCGAATTACAGGTCCTAGAATGTTTAAAAAATTATGTGGTAACAACGTGGTAATTGTCTAACATATTTCCAAGTTTCTGCAACTTATGTAGAACGAACGACTATCAAAAATATAAATTGTTACTACTTAAAACTGAAACCCTTATGCGTAGATATAAAACTATAAAACAAACTCATATAAAAATCTTTTACAAAACATGCTTAATTAATATCCCCGAAAATATATTTCTTTTTACCCAATGTAAACTCGCGCCTCAAAAATGCATATCAAATGTTTCGTAAAAAGAAATATATCGAGTCAAGTAATTTCCTGTAGACATACGGGTGGGAAACTGTCTGTATATTTGGCAACTGCAGAGAAACCACMTAGGAACATGTTTCATTGTTGTAAAAATAGTGAGGAAACCCAAAATAAGGCACCGTACCTCTACAGAAAACTAATTGTATAAATTTCCCTTAAGACTACTTTACTTTATTCCCGTTTAATTGCCTGGGGGGCCTCCGCCAGCCCTTTCACTTTGAGTCTATCTGCCGTTTTGAGGAAGGCCGGCARTTGCTCCTGACTCACGTTCACCTCACCGGCGTACATAAACTCTAAAATTGCTTGTAAATGGCTGTAAGCCACATCCTTGAGTATGATAATCGGGTGCTTCGAGGGGTTCTCCTGCAACAAACAAGTCGCAAATTTACACCCCCATAGTGGGACACTCCCCCTACCTCTAGCAAGCTTTTAAAATAGGGACTACACGCCGAGAGRACCATTTTATGCGCTTTGCACGTCTGCCCCTCGCAGGCCAAAGTGACATCAGTGAAACTCTTCTCGTCTCGCAAATGCCGGAACGACGACACCATATTACTTTGAAAGTCGTTCCATTTTAAGAAAAACTGCTGCTGGTCTGCCATTGTCCACCTGCAACAGCCCCAACTGTTTACCAATTTCACATAACCTAATTTTTTTGGTGGGTCAAACGATTCGAGATGGCGGCTGTCGGACACGTGACGTGTCAACTATTGCCAACACTTACCGATTTTCGAATTTAGATTTGAGACTTGTGGCTAAAAATTAAGATAAAAGTTAAACAGTCATTAACATTCTGCTGTGCTAAACAGTGCTATTACGCAAGCGCCTAATCGCCATGTGTTGACAACCTAAATTATTGCGTCACCGGYTTGAATGTGGGTTGGAGGACGGGTGGTGCAGGTTGGCGGACCTGGAAGCCAAATGCGGGAAGTTTAAACTAAGTAAAAAATAATTTCTGATGAAAAAATTAATTGGTTTGGACGATTTATGACCACAATTGGGCTTTAAACTATTACACTACTTGGTACAGTCATGAAGTCACTTATGACAAAAAAATTTATTAATTCACGTGTGGACAATATTGGTTTTAAGACTTTAATAAAATAAAATTCAAAGTGAGTTTAGCTTGTTAATAATGATTACAAGAAGTTGACTGTAATTGCAGATTAATAAGAGTTATGCTCCATTGATTTTTCCCTTGACGCAGGTGCTTGTATCCCACCGTAAATAACGTTATAAAATGAGATTAAAACGAATGGTGATAAAGGGCAAAAAACTCGAAACAAGGTGTTAAAAAAAGATAAGAAAATAAGTCTTCATGAATGATATAAACTCGAAATAAATCGCAACAACTTTGGTTGAAAGGTAATTAAATTTTGATTTATTGTAATAATCAATATATGAATTATGAAGAATGAGTATTAAAAATATACCTAGTTAGTAATAGATAAAAATGAAATGAATATTTAAATGTTAAAAATTTGAAAGGTAGATTTTAGTTAATGATAATCAAGTTAAAGAGGAATAATAGAAGTTCATTCAAAATCAAACAAAGTTTGTAAAGTTGGCAAAGTTGTTTCACAAAAAAAAGATAAATTAGATAAGATTATTACAGAAATTCATTCAGAGAGAAACAGGATCAAAGAGTTTATTTAAAAGTTTGATGAATACGTACTAATAAAGATAAAATGAGAGGAACATCAAAAGTTTGTGATGCCATTGTATAACAAATAAAAACAAGATTTTTTGCAATATTTAGTAGCTTTATTTTTTTGGTCGTGATATTAACAACAAAAGTTTATATTTTTTAAGTTTTGGTGAAGTCTACATGGTTGCGTTTAAATGATTTAAAAAATGTTTATTGAATAAAAATGTCATTATTTGGCATTACTTCAGAAAAGATTAATAGGTAGAATAGTTATTCATGTATTATAAAAAAAACAACTGGGTTTTAACCGAAAAATGAGGGTAATGCCAGAAGCGACCGAAGAGAGCCGAGGGCATTTTATTTTGATAAATTAATAAATGTTTTTACTCTAGAGATTAATAATAACATAAGAAAATTATAAATTTGTCAAATAATGTCAAATAATTTGTTAAAATATTCAATTCATTCATTTGGAATTGTAAGAGTAAAAATCGTTATTCAATTATTATTTTATTTCCTAGGAAATAAAGCTTCTTTTTATTCCCTGTTGAGAGGAGAGTATAAGTTTTTGTTGTTCCATAATAGTTCTTTTACTAAAAACTAAAGTTAATTAATAAGTTATCAATTAAAAATAAGTTGTGTCTAAAAATATAGATTTTTTTCCAAATTTTTATTATTAATTTATTTTTTATTTATCGACAAATAATTGTCTGTAAATTTATGAAAATCATCCAAAAACGTATAAAGTAATAGATGCCAATGTGTAGGTAATTATTGCGATAAGTAGTATCTGGTTAATAAAAATTAATTAATAAAATTAAAATATTGTGAAAACATTTCAATTCATTAAAAATTAAAACACTGTGAAACTTACACTTTAATTGCTTTCTCAATAATTTAAAAAAATATTATTTCATCGGCAAATTTTATTGTTTTGATAACGACAAACTAAAACAACTTAAACATTTTTTCCATGTTCTTAGTAAATATATTATCTTACTTGAAATTTTTCACTGGGGCACGAGTTTTGAAACGCCCTGGATAACACCCTGTAGTACATTTTAATACAGAAGAAACCATACATTGTCATAAAGGTTTTAATACAATTTATTTAGTGACAAATTTTTAGTGTTGCTAAAAAATTGCTGAAAAATAATAGTCATTTATTATACAAGACGATAAAGAAATTGTTTATCTACGAAAAGGTTAAGTTTTAGTAGATAAACAATCTTTATCGTTGTGTATAATATTTGGTTTTATTTTGTACTCACCTACCAGAATTTCTTGAATATAAACGGTAGATCAAAATTACTTTATTTCACAAGACGATAAAAGACTACTTTATGTACTGAAATTAGTTGTTGAAATATAAACAGTAGATAAAAATTACTTTATTTCACTAGATGATAAAAGACTACTTTATCTATTGAAATTAGTTGATAAACGCACTCTTTAACGTTGAGTAAAAAATAAAAAATAATTTCTGCTTTGAATTTCATAATCAGGGATAAATATATATTTTGATAGCAAGTTGTTTTCTGATACTTGGTGACAAATCTACTATTTTAAGAAAGCAAATATTATTCCGAGATATGCGTTTAGTGTGGTTGAAAACTGTATAAACTCTAAGATAAAAAATAATTTCAGATTTGATTTTCAAAATCAGAGAATTTCATTTAATGATAAATATTTATTCTGGTAGCAAGTTGGGTTTATTCCTATTTTTTTTATTTAATAACCCAGCGGCTTCACTCATACATTTATTCGTTTTTTAAACCGTTTTTAATTACGGTTTTAAGATATTTTGTAAATTAAAATCAACACAACAAGACGTTGTTACTTGTTTTATCATTTTTTTTTATTTTACACCGAGAGTATGTGGCGTACCTAGTATATTCAAAATCAATATTGTGGTATCATCTCCTAAATTCTGACAAGTTTTCACTTGCATTTTTTTCTTTTAAAAATCTAATTTTTCACTATTTTTCGGTTTTGTTAATTTAAAATCATTAAAAAACTCTTTGAGTCGGAATTTTATCATTAATTACCCCACATCTTTTTAATCGACACTGTGTTGCAATCGTAATTCGGATAAAATGTAGGTGTGGACGGTGGGCAGTAATTATCACGTTTCTGTTGGTTCATTATAAGCTAAATCAGATAAGAGTGATATGGAAAAACACGTTTTTATTCACCTATAAATTTGCATTTTGCACAATGAATTTAGACAAAATGAGCACAATTCAAATTGATAGAAGGATTTCGTGAAATGGAAGTGAATCTATTGTTCGTTTGCAAAATACGGTGTCTCCACGTCTATGTAAAGCTTCACTTCAAATGAACATCGTTCTAAAATACTGTAATTTACTTACAAAATATTAATAACGTGCAGCGAATGAAGGAATATCCTTCCGAAGATGCAATACATAATTCAATATCAGAGCAATAATTAAGTAGTGCTTCTGCTGCCGACAACGGTGCTCAAAAAAATAGAGGGATTAACATATCAAAAGGAAAGCTGAAACAGATTTTTTTTGTATGAAGAATTTAATAGAATTTAATAATGTGCTTTGTTATCTGTTCTTGTCTAATCAAAGAAACAGATATTACGTTTGAATGTTTTAACATCTCTCTTATAAAGAAATTTAAGACACTGTAGTTCAAGATGCGAATTATTATCTAAATACAGGGTGTATCAGAACTCGCGCCCTAAGTAAGATAAGATACCAGGAATATGGAAAAAATTCTATCTGTCAAAAAATACAGCTTCTTTGTTTCTTCTTCTAATAGCTTGTAGCAAAAAAACTTAGAAAATTATTTTTCCAAATAAATAAATGTAGACAAAGTGCAAAATAACTTCAAAATTTTTATAGATAGACTTTTTTTTAACATTTTTTCATGTTCCTGGTAATATCTTTTCTCTGAAGCGCGAGTTCAGGCGCACCTGTATTTTGACCAATATCGTCATGGTACCTGAAAGGTTCTTTTTTAATACCAAGAAAATGTTTTTACTGATAAACGACTCAATTTTACTCCAGAAAACGTAGAGCAATATGTCATATACAGGTAGAAATTTGAAGAGATGATAGCGATCCATAATTTATTTTACATTTCTTGAATGTTTATACTAGTTATACTAGCAGAAACTATACTTAGCTAAGTTCTGAAATATACGTTGATGATCTTTGAGGTTAGTTCTTTAAGAAAGATTATTGGTATTGTTTAAAACAACTGTTTTAAACTAAAATACAGCTAGTGAAATTGGTGGCAATTCCTAAAAATTCTTTGCCGGCAGCRGAAGCACTGCTTTAATTAAATCAAACAAAATTTCTTTTAGTCGGTTTGCGACACTTATGTTCAGTGTGAGATTATCTTCCAGGATTTTCCTGCAACAGCATTCACAGATGGCACTTGAATAAAACAAAGGCACACTCATACATACAAAATCCAGACAAATCTGCAATAGTTTTCGCATTCATATGGAAAAAACACTTGTGTTCATAAATCTCGGTTTAAACTCATTCAAAAGCACSGAGCTAACATTGTTAACATATTTATAGAATTCATCCTGCAAACTTTTCCAATTTGTACTCCGCTTCTGCCTTAAATTTTCTTCCACTTACTATAGTTTTGATTTATAGGTTATATTAATAAAAAAAAATGATACTAAATTTATGAATTATTTATTTATTTCAGGCATTTCATGTTGCAATGTCAAATAACGCTCGCTCTTTGTAAATTTAAATGTGCACAGATGGGTTCAAATAAATTGTAATTTAAATATCGAATTTTTYCTGCAGAATGCGGTTCAGTGTTACCACCAYTGCCGCGATAAATGAGAAAAAGTCATGTAAGGGTGCTTAAAACAACAACTATTAACAGTCATTCCAATAAAGTGTTATCGTTAGTTATGTTTTTGTATATTTTTCAAAATAAATCTTGTATGGATTTATGTAAAAAAGTAGGTAAATTGCGGGTTATCGGTTACACGTCGACTGTATTAAAAATTACGTGTCAATTTTGCCGACATCGGCAATCTGTTATACGCAGATAAATTCCCTTTTAATCACCCCACATCATTTCAACGAAAGGGYAAAAAGTTTTACAGAGTAACGAACATCATTTGTTCATGTTGTATTAAAAGGATTACATTTTTTGCTCTTGGCAATATTATGTTTGTTTGAATTATTAAAAAAATGAAAACAATTGTTGCAAACAAGTAATTTTTTATCATTTATTTGTATGTACATCACCGCGTTTGATTTCTATTAGAAACAAAGGCCAGAGTCGATCAGAGATTGAGTTTCGAAGATTATTAAATTTGTTTCAACGTTTTATGCACATTATTGAGTCTGAAACACCCCAAAATCTTAAAAAATCAATTTTAATTTTTAATTTAATGCTCTAATTTTTGCTCTTATGTGCTTAAATGAGGACACTCTTATTATTCTTATTACTTATTAGAATTAAAGAAAAGTTGTTCCCTTAAGTAGACTTTAAACTTCMGACTCAGCTGTCGGAAGCAGAGATTTTATGTCGCTGCGCCACCACGCCTCCGTAGTGTCTTTGCTCTAATATACTCAAAATTATTCAAACTTTTCTAAGTTTCTTATGCTCTTAGGACTGCATTTAGTTCAGTTTTAAAAATTTTGTTAAAGTGAAACTTTTTTTCCATCGCCTCAAAATTTTTCGTCAATCTATCACATGTCGCATTACAGCCGGCTGCGGAGTAGGGGTAAAGTAAAAGGCGCTCGGCAGAGCAGCCACGGCCAATATGGCGGCACCCATGGCTCGAATTAGCTGACCGTGTAGCATTTATATTCTTACTCATTTGTGTGTTACGATCAGTGTATTGATGTGTATTGATCCGAAAAAAGTTTCACTTGCATTGGTGTCTTTAAACCATAGCAGTTTTTTTTGTCATAATTTTGGGTRATTTTTGGTACTCGTAGCGGATATCATATAATAACTTTGAAGTTACTATCGATAACTGTCTCTTGTTTGAATTTCCCATCTTACAAAGAAAGATCATCATAAAAATAGCGAAAATAATGATTTTACCAAAACCTCTAAGTTATCACGAACTTTGTTGCACTTTATTCGGAATTATCAAAATAAAKAAAAGTGGAAATTTTTGAGCACCTCTCGTATAAAAATGAATTATTCAAACATGTAAAAATCTGTGAAAAACTTATCTATAACTATATCTATAGCTCCTAATAAGATTAAAACTTATTACTTATWATATACAAAATTTTACTTCATATTTTGATACTTTGAGATAAAAAAGCTCTCATGCTTYTATGTTTATGCGCTTTCAATGCTTATGCTCTCTTATTTGCTTTCTTATAATGCTTATTAGAATTAGAGAAAAATTGTTGACTTTTGCGGGATTTRAAACCGAACCTACCTTCCRGARGTAGTGACCTTATGMCACTRCGCCACCAAGCTCCCGGCATGTATATTTGTTCTGATGGTCTAATATACAAGGTRTCTCAAAACTAGCGCCCCAGAGAAAAATTTTAAGTAAGATATGATACCAGGAACATGGAAGAAATATTTAAAAAATCTACCTGTCAAAAAATTTTGACATTTATTTTTTGACATTTGACATTTTATTATGTCTATTTA